TCCTAGAATTGAAAAAAAAAATTCTTTTTTAATCTGAACAGGTTGGAAAACAGTAACAACCTGTAGCTCATTTAACCGCTGTTGTCGCAAGTCTCGATAGATCTCGTTAGTGCCGTAAATCTGCAAAAATTACCGAATAAAAAAGTAAACAATGATAAGACCGTGGAAGTAAGTGCGTAAGTCAAGTGCTTACTCACTGATGGAGAATCTAGCATTTCTGCATCTTTAGGGTCTTTGAACTGGACGCTCTTTCGCTCGTATCCTCCTGGCGATATGTTCTCCCTAAAAAACAGTCATTTAGGCAAATTCATTCATGTTGGATCAATCATCAAAAAATCAAGTTTTTTGAAAAAGCTAATATAACTCATAGACAAACTGAGCCTTGGCATGTGACACCGTAAATACTGCTATGAGATGTACAAATTGTAGCGCAGAAAAGGAAACGGTTGAGAAAGGAAAAGGGAGCAAAAAGCGTGCTTTTATAAGTGGATAGTCACATACAAACAAAAAATGGAAAGATTGGCTGTAGTAGACAAAATTGAACTCGTAAAAAAGTAAGTAATAATAGCTGGTTCATGAAATAAAACTCTCACCGCATCGCACTCCGTCCAGGGCTCACATCAACGTCGTCGATTAGGGTTTCAGTGCGATTCCCAGCTGACAACCTCGTCGTTTCAGCTGAACTGTAGCTAGTAGTGGGTGCCACAACAGCAGCATTCCTACCGTCTCGTGTTCGCGATTGTTCTGTGGCAATGTTCAGCAACTCCCTAGGAATTTTGTACTAAAAATGTCAGAAAGGAAAGTAAACGGATTGAGCAACATACCTATATCGCCTAGTTTCATCCTCAGTCATATTAATACCTTTGGCATCCAAACGATCCAACTCTTGGTTCACAGCCTCTCTGGTCTGAATCAAGAACTTTGCTTGTAAGATAAAGTCATCAAAGATAGCTAGATGGACTAGAAATTTTCAGCGCAATGAAGCAGAAATAAAATAGTGGATAGAGCAGAGTGGAAAGCGCCTTCCCGTAAAAAAAGGCAGAAACAATTTTGGAAACCATCACTAGTGAGACATAGCAAGAAATGGCGTTATTGCTTTTGGTGATATCAAAACAGAAAAACAAGAAAGAAAGATGACTTACCATCAACGCCGTGTTAGTTCTCTCAAGATTCAGCAACTCTCGTTCGAAACCTGATGAGCGAGGAGGAGCCAAAACAACACGAGCCTCTTGATTTGCAGCAGCTTGTAAAGCCTAAAATTCGGCCGGCATGACAGAATTGAAGCAAAAATTCTTAAAGTACTAACCTGCGTAAATGCAGTAGGAGCCATTACGCCAAAAGTAGTCGTTGTCGATCGCGGTTCGCTATGTAGACGAAGTGGTCCTCCATTGGAATCATGTTTTTCCACTTGTAGCGCAATCGGTCGAACCACGGCTGCTTCCGGAGAGCGAGCAGATGACGGGGCACTGTAGTTGGGCGGTTTCGCGTAACCGCCAACATTTCCATTCGGAACCGATGAAGGCGAGGAGGGACCTCTGGGGTTGTATCGGATCACCGGCACATTACGGGATTGCTGCTGGACATAATTTTGGTTGGGGTTTTGTGCGTTGGCGCGACTAATCGGAGCCGGAAGAGAAGCCGAGTAGTTAGTGTTGATAGGAGGAAGATGAGACATATTATTCGACGGCATCCTATGCTCTTCACGAGGTGAGGAGTGCGCTGCCGGTGGAGATGTTTGACTCTAAAATGTTGATAAATAGAAAGCAAACTCTGCAGCCCAAAAATGCTTTCAAAAATATTACGATACTTGATCAAAGCTAGCTACTTACCGCCTTATAGATGTCATGATTGCTCTCTCTTAGGCCAGCGCTGCTATAACCCTGTTGCTGCAGAGGATTCGGAGATCTGCAAAAAACTTCAATGACAAGAAGAAGCAAAAGTCGGCAGAGATCACAGTTCTGCTAGATCTATTCATAAATTTCGACTACGAATGGATTAGGGATATTAAAAGGAAACAGCTTTTGAACGTGAGATAGCACTAAAGAAACAACCCTAAAAACCCTAACGCTAAAGAATACTAGAGGTAAAAAACCCTACTATCACCAAGTACGAGTTAGACAATCTCACTGATGAGTTCAGTTTTTCTGCAAAAAAA